TGATTTTATTTTAAATTATTTTATGGTTTGAGGGTGAGTAGCTGCTATTTCTTTATATTTACTCATGCGTTTTAACACCTTGAGAAAGCACATTGCTTTGCGTTCTGCATAGACAATCCTAACCTGCTGTTAGGAAACTGGTACTGCAGAGGAACCTCTGTGGCTGGGGTCAGTGGAGCGCTGCCTGGAGCACTAGTGATTCCCATTTGTCTCATTCCTTTCCTTCAAAACACTCCTTAAAATGCCATTTCCATTTTTACTGCTATTCCTTTGCTGAAACCTGATGGCTGAGATGGGATTGTTTTGGAGACTGGATAGCACAGTTCTAGGTGACTGCGAAATAATAATTCAGAACCTCCCCAGTCATCCTGTTAACCTCCATGTATAAGTTCCTAAATTTTTCACTTTCTCTCCATCTTAAAATCTCAGCATCTTTCAAGGAATCCACTAATTCTTGCTTTTTTCCTTGCATTTCATCACTTTCTGTCTGATCCTTTTCAAAATGGGAGCACAACAGCAGGGCGTAGCTGAAGATTTGTCAGCGAGTTACACAGATATGTAACAGTTTCATTATTCTGTATTTCTTTGTTCACATATTTTAATATTTTATTTTTCTAATGAGTTGTTTTCAGCTATTTATAGTGATGCCATTTTATTTATGAGTTGGTCCAAATTTGTTAGACCTCTTCAGAAAATTTCAACTTGTCCCTTCCAATGTTTATAGCAGGCTTAATATTAATGTCTCTAACTGTTCACTCTGTTGTTGTATGAGGATAAATCTCTGAATAGAGTGAAATCAGCCGTGACACCAAATTAGTTCCCCTCAAAAGTGTTGAATGTATGGGGTTTTTCTGGGGAAAACAAATTTCTTTGTGAGACTTTTAATATGACATCACAAAAAATAGATTAAAAAGAGACAAAAGCTGTTTCACATCATCTGTCATTTTCCAAATTTACATTTAGGGAAAATGCTTGTGAAAGCTAACAATTGGGGTAAGTATTTAAATACCTTATTACATACTAAATATAATAAGCCAAAGCACAGAGGAAATGGCATAGAAAAGGGTACTGCAATCTCCGATGACAGTCAACAAAATCTTAAATACTTGCTTTTGTTCTTAAATGTACTTGTGTCATTCCCTTGACAATACAGGGCATTGCTACATGTTAACTATTCACTTACATAATTTGCTGAACTGTGGCTAAAGTTCAGTGGTTAGATTTTAGTGATGTGCAAGACTAAGTCCCCATAAACAACAATTAAAAATGGTAAAGTTCTCCGAGTACATTTTAGCTTCATTAAAGTAATAAATGGTAACTAGCTAAAGATACTACTATTAAAGTAATTTACTTCTCCATTGTTAGGAGCTCAAAAGGAAAATAAACTCTTTTAAAACTAAGTGATCATAGAAAAGCAGATGTAAAACTTGCTGGAGCTAAGGAAAATAGTTTGGTTGCCTTAAACATCCTATGATGAGTCCCAGAAGGAAAATAAGGAAAATAATGAGCAAAACTGGAAAGTAAACCTCTCTTTAAGCCCAATAAAAAGAAAAAAAAACAAACTTGGCCAAGGGCTTTCGGAATATGAAACCAAAGATTACAAGCACCTTTTTTCTCATCTTCACTTCTGATTCCACTTTCCACCTCTTCCACCTTTTCATGAACTCTGTTGCACATATCTAGCAGACTATGCTGCTCTAAGGAGTGTTACCTTTCTAGTTAGTTGATAGTTTTCAGATTGAATGCATATTCACCAATCTATGCATTTTCCAGGTTCAGACAATTTTGAAGGCTGTAAATTTCCTACCACCTAAGTGCTTTTGGAAAAAAAAGAAAAGCAACAATGTGCACAAGAATTCAGATCAACACATGCAGCTAAGGTTTGCATTTCAACACCAGAGGATGTTCAGATGTCACTCTGTTTGGAGTGAACAGATGCAAGCTGTAAAATTTTACAACTTTATTACATTTGCACAGGCACAATTGCATTCATTGGCAGTTTTGCTGAGATAAAGACAAGGAAGTACAATGCAAACAACATTTCAGGATGGAAGAAGTTTACTTAAACACTACTTTGGGGGCATGTCGACACGGTCTCCAGCAGGCCAGTTATATGCCAGCTATGCCAATCCTCCAGATGGGCAGCACACCCTGATCTGAAAATCATAGGTATCTTGTAGAGCATATCCTGCAATCAGGCTAAAATGTTGCTTAAAACAGAAAATCTACAGCATGAACATCACTATGTGCAAATCTAAACAGCTTCCAGCTGGAACAGGTTGCCCAGAGATGTTGTGGATGCCCCATCCCTGGATGTCTTCAAGGCCAGACTGGATGGGGCTTTGAGCAACCTGGTCTAGTGGAAGGTGTCCCTGCCCATGGCAGGGGGGTTGGACCTAGATGATCTTTAAGATCCCTTCCAACCCGAACCATTCTATGATTCTATGATTCTATGATTCTCCTCACTCCAGGACAGAGCATGGAAAAAATTAGAGCCCAAATGTCTACATCTACCTGTCATAGATGTGCCCTGTATGACAGAAACACAGAATAGTTTGGGTGGGAAGGGAGCTTTAAGGGTCATCTAGTCCAGACCCCTGCAGTGAGCAGGGACATCTTAAACCAGATGAGGTTGCTCAGAGCCCCGTCCAACCTGACCCTGAATGTTTCCAGGGATGGGGCACCTACCAACCTCTCTGGGCAACCTGTGCCAGGGTTTCACCATCCTCTTTGTAAAAAACTTCTTTCTTCCTAGATCTTGAGAATATCAGCATACTTAAATGTTAATCAAGCTAAGATTTTTTAAGTAACATATTTTATTTGACCAACTGCATATTTGGAAAATGTAGACAAGTTTTTGGGAACAAAAGCTGTTATTCAGCTCTTTTAAATTTTAAGCATATGCCTAGAGTATGAACATCACCAGAAACACTCAGATTGGTGAAATTAGTTACATAAAAAGAAGTTCTAATTTTTACCTGAATGGTTATGGTTATGACCTAAAACATGGTCTAGATATATAACTATGTGTTAGAACAGTCTTTAGAAAGCATGAAGAAAACAACCAGGTTTGGGCATCTTTTCTAAAAGAAGGTGGGAAAAAACTATAAAAGGGTATCTCTTCAGCATAGGAAAAAAAAAAAATTAGGCTAGGTTCCTGACCTAGCAGTTATTTTCACATACTTCCCATTATTCATAGGCTATTACCAAAGGCAATGGCTGAACTTCTGTCTAAGAGTTTACAAGATCAGAGTATGTAAAAACTGAAAACAGACACACCATCTTGATTCTTTACTAAATTGCCATAGCTGAAAATCCAAGCCTAGAATTTTACCATCAAGAAAAATTTTCATGGCAGGAATTATTCCTCTTGTTTATTACAATTTTTGTTTTCTTATGAAGATGTAATTTCTCCTATAGTAGGTGATTTGTGATCAAATTTAAGACTCCTCCAAACTCCATAACAAAATTTTTATCAACTCATTCAAAGGATACATCAGTCCACAGTGACAACTGTGATCCAGCTTGGGTCTCAACTTCCAAACCAGCTTTGAACTACACCAGCTGTCTACTATTTGAACTCCTGGCAAAGCAGCACTCAGTTCCCCATAGGTTAATCCTCCTTTCTATAAAACTCCAAGCTGAGATGTATCTGTTTTGGTTGCAGATCATGCAGATACCTAAATCACGTAGGATCCAGCATCCTGATAGACTCCTAATAGATCGGGGTACGTACCCCGTGGCACAGCTATCACCCGCAATGAAAGCAGTGTCGATGTACCCAGCACTGATTTGCTACATCAGCATGGCCTGTAGAACAGACTGTTTTAGAAATAAGACTAAGCACTTGAAATTAGAGGCTTACTATTCAACATCTCACAGTAAGACTGGGTCAGTGGAGGGTATAAAAGCAAGTGTAATATTTACCGAGTTTAGCAGGAATTATTAGATTGAAGCTCTTTCAATGCTCATCTTTTAACTCTCCAGTAATTAAGTCATTACAACCAGATTAATTGCTCAAAACATTTGGTTTCACCCCTTGTTTTTACTGCTACTAATAGTTTTTCACTGACAAAAAGCTACCCATAAATCTGGAGGCTGCCAGTGTCTCTGGGGGAAGGCTCCCATAACTCTGGCACAGCATAAAACTAATGGACATGGAAATAAAAATCAACTTTGAACTTCAACAGTGTTAAGAACGTACAAGAAAAGGACACCAGGATAGTGATGAGCTCTCTGTACCCCGTATAGCTGCACTGCATCACGCAGAGGTAGTCCGGGGCCAGTGGCTCTCTTCCAAGGTGCATGGCCACATTCTGCAAAGCTCAGGTTTCTCCACGAGTATGGTCAAATCCCATAAACTTTGTTACATCTTAGATGTTATTAAGTACATCCTAAACCCTAAGGCCTATAAATGCTTTATGGCACTGGGCCTTTTATAACTTGCATGAGTTATGACCATGATTCACTATAAAATCAGAGCAGCCACATCAGGGTATAATAAAACAAGATATTTCTTTATGGCTTTTTTTTAAATGGAGAACACTAATAGGAAACATAATTTGTGTTTTTATAAATTATCATCATTTTTCTAGGTTTTCTAGCACAAATCTGTAAACAAGATTTTCTGGGAAAAATCTGATGATGTGATTGAGCTGGTCAAAAGTGACAGCAGGAGTTCTCCCCCTTGCTCATTCAATAAACAGCACTAAAACAGCAGGGAGACCTCACTCGCAGCTTTTGGGAAAAGAAACTTTTGAGAAAAAAAATCAGGAAAAAAAGAAAAAAAAAAGACCATCTAAGAGAGTTGCATTTGAGATAACATTTTTCCACTTGGACAACTGCAGTCTCAGGTATTCTGGTATCGGAGGCAAAGCGCTGGAAACAAAAGGATTGTCAAAGGTATGTTGCTAAAACTGCACAACATGGCAGAAAACCATTGCTGAGATTCATATCCTTGCGTCTCTTCTACATGCAGGTATTGACAGACTTTCATTTTCATGACAATGGAATTTTTCCTCCCCAGGATGGAAAGTAAGAACCTCTTCCTAAGCCTATTGCTCTGCTACAGTTTGCTCAGAGCTGCTGATTCTCATATGATAATTGAAGAGAAGACAGAATGCAACCTGTCAAGGAGCAACAAAATGAATCTCCAAGATCTACCCCCCATCTCCATAGTAGGTTAGTACAATCTGCCATTCGGTGCCAAATTAACAAGATTTGCAGAAAATACAATTTTTGATTAATATGGATTATTTTTATTTGCATTGAAATAGTTTATACTGGAGCTGAAATGGCACATGCTCGAGCCTTTCTGGGTATTATTTTAGACAACCAGTAACCACATTACCTCTATCACTTATTAACTAAAATAATGGAATTATAATTTGATAAACTAAATATCAATTAATCAAAATCATGTATTAATGCATGACATATGAAGAGCATTTGAAGGTCCCTAGCCATGAATTTTCAAATAGGTGGAGAAAGAAGGTGCAGGAGAAAGGACATGCACTGGGGTTGTTTTGGGGTTCAGGTTACTAGAGCAAGGGACCTTCCAGCCCTGCTGATACCTCCTGCTGAGAGCAAGAGGATGACAGTAGATGTCATCATTTTCACTAAAGTGATCTGGGAATAAGGACACCCCAGTGGGTTGTGAGGCATAACCAGAGGTCCATCTTTTTCCCCTGATTTTTTCTGGGCTCTGTGCATTACACAGCAGCTCGATGAAGAAACGAAGTCATGCCCTTCAGGGTGCTGGGTGCTGAAAGGTGTGGGAAGAGTTGCTAGAGGGAGAGATACTGCCCTGGAGACAGTCTTGCAGCGGATGGAAACATGTTGAAATGGGAGAAACTAATGCAAACAGAAAAAGCAGTCAGAGAGAAGTGGGAAGGGGAGTAAAGGCAGTACCCGCAGCCCCAGCAAAAGCCCTGCAACATTAGGGGGAGGGGGGAAGGGGATGAAGAGGCATGTAGTACTATTTATTATAACAACAGTGTTGGTCTTTCCCATCACCGCCACAGAAACAATTACTTTAGAGCAAATATTGAGTGTTTAAATAACCACAGCCTTCTCTCCCCTCCTGATGCCATCAATTTACTTATGATTTATCACTTATAATTTGTCACGCTGATATACATAATCTGGTTTTGTATGAGCTAACAGAAAACTTTTTCATCTCGGTTTAAGCATTTTGGATAGAGCTTCCTATCTCAGTGATGTTTTATTTTATACCAAGTCCTGTTCCTTCTGGTTGGCCACACAGAACAGAGATGAAGGCACTCACGTTACAGCTCAGTTTTTAAATATTGCTGTAGCCATACTTGAGTAATAAAACTCATTTGCAATCATATGTTTATGCACCTGTCAATCAGTCACAGTGCTCAGGGTATCAAAAGATGATATGCCTGGCTCAAATTCAATAAAACCCAAGGCTGGAGTTGAATCACATCCTAAAAATGTAAGTATAGGATTTGCTAGCATCAACTAGTAAAACATGCAATCATCTAATTAATACATGCACTTCAAATTGTAGTTTTATCAACAGGGGTGGGAGGTATGCATTGCCAGTATTTTCACACTCCTGTATTGAATTTTCCTACATTGTCACAGCTGAGATTTGTAAGGAGCTGGTTAGTTGAGTAGCTGTTGAAAATACAGTAGGTATAGCATGAGGAATATGAGATTAGAAGCCAGTTGGGAAAGAAGGTGTTTTACCCAGCCCAGACGAACTATAGAAGAGACAGTTATAGCACTCGCCTGTCAAAAAAAGCATCTCTACACTTCCCTCTCACCTGCCCACTGGGCACATTTTCTTACCAAATTCCTTGGAATAATTAAAGTGCATTTACATCACACCAATGTTTAAGTCTCTGTTTAATGAGATCATATAAGCTTGAACTGAATGTTATTGAAACAATTTAATAGGCAAAGTAATTCAGACAATCCTGTACAATTGTACTATAGAAAGTTAAATTAATGTAGAACTAAACGGCTTACAAGCATCTTGATTACCGTTAGAAAGTTTCAAAGGACAGCAAACATAATCTGCCAGCTGGAACTGGATCTAAACCACTAATCCTACTTAGTGTAAAGCCTTTTTGAAGATGCGCTCTTATTAAGTGACAATAACTTTACATGTCTGAGGTATAGTTTTTCCTCCCACTGTTTCTGAGAGGTGTATAACCTAACTATAATGATGCAAGGTTAATAAATTAAACTCTCTGAAACAATCCAAAATGTGTTCTTCATTCTGTATTTCTCTAAATCGTGGCAGTTATTAAATATTCAAAGAGATATGGATTGTAAATTCTGGACTAGATCATTCATCAGTGGGCATAGGTAAATTTTCTACCCCAATCATTCATTACATACAGGTAGTGGTTGTTACAAACCTCACACACAGAGAATAGAGGTATCAAAAGTATCATAACAGATTAGTGAGCTGGGAAGCATCTCTCACTTTAACAGTCTTGCTGTGTTAGATCCCAAGAGAAGTCTTAGTCATGGAATTTATATACAGTAATAAACAGCATTAGAGCTGATATAATAATAAAAACAATTGCAGTAAATGCTAATAGCCCTCAAGGGATAATATGAGGAAGTTCACAAATACTAGCCATTTGATCTGAAGAGAAAAAGTTACAACAGATGTAGTCTGAAAAAAAAAACCTTAAATTTACCAGGTCCAAGATTCAACTCTACAGATATTTGCAAACCTTTAAAACCTAAAAGCACATTAATGAAACACCTTTGCAAGTAACATTTTGTAAAACAGGACAGTAGGTGAAAATGCAACAAAAAATTGAAGAATGAATGAAAAGTGGCATCATACAGATGAAGAGTTTATGCCAAATGAGCAAAGAGTTTTTTGCTTGTGAAAACCAGCATGCACTTTTTAATTCCTGCCAAAATTATGCAGGCAACACCACCTTTTAACAGAAAAAATATTGAATTCTACATTTTTTCCTACTTTTGTTCATGTGATTAATGTGCGTAAGTACTCTCATCCTTTACACAGAGACCTTTAATTTTATTTCTCGGAAATTATTTTTCTTGTTTGCATCTGGCCAAACAATGTGTAAAAAAGCCCTCATAAAATACAGTTATCAGTGTTCTGTTTCACCAGAGCAACAGTGACAGCACAAGTTCAGACACGCTATTTGTAAATGAGGACAGCTCCTAGTGGAGTTACACAGCTTATTTGCTTTCTTTCACACAAAAATACTATTAAGCACCTCAGTGAAATAACATATGCTTTAAAATTTATTTAATATTATGTTGTGCTATTCTTTTTGAAGATTTAACTAAAAGATCTTTTGAAAGAAGCAGAGAACAAGAAATCTTCCAAGGTAGGTGACTGTTCAGGAAACATTGTTGAATTAGAAGATATTATTTCTATAGTTAGTGCATTCGTTTATAACGCTTTTGCAGCCATTCCCAGATTTAAATAATTTACATACAGTTTGAAGCTCTAAATAGTGTAAAAACAGATGCAAAAAATTAATGGTGGAAATAAAACAACAGGATCTTTGATTAGTTATAGGTTATTGTTTGGGGGTGGGTCTTGTGGGCTTTGAGTTCACTTTTGTATTTTACACTCCTTTCTTACACAAGAGGTACTTTAATCTTGAGTTAGTTTAAGTATTTGTAAAATTACTTAGGAATCTGCCACAAAGAGCAATCATTCCCAGGCACACCATGTGGGTTAACTGTACAGGTTCTGCAGCCCAGGGGCACGAACTCACTATCTGCTGATTTTTAACTGCAGGTGTCAAGAAATTAAAGTAGAGGTATACAAAGAGGTTGGTATTTTGTTGAAAATGTTACCTAGTAATTTTTTTCAGATCAGTAGATTCAGATTGATAGATTTTCTTAATGTGATGTTACCCATAGGTCTTGAATGTGAAGTATTACATAGGCTGGAATCCTATATTTTAAGGATTGTCTAGGAAAGTAAAAAATACGTTATTTTAATATGTCATGATAGCTATTTATAGCCAAACCAGTCACTGCTGCAGCCACAAACACTTAGAGCTCCTTCGTGTCCTTTCTAATTGATGTCTGGTGTGATTAACTTTCCTTGAAACACTTCCTAAATTCGCAGGATGACCCACGTTGAAAGGGACCTCAGCATGTTCTTTAGTTCCACCTTCAGCTCCAAGCATGACGTTCTTGCAATCAAATTTTGTCAAAGTATTTTGGCCTAAAAGCTCCTAAGGCACTTAGAGACCACAGAACATTTTACCTTAAAATTGAAACTCCTGAGAAACTACGAAGTTAAAAAGGTCTATATAGGGTGCCTGTATCTGGAGAGCTCCAGACATCTCTCCCAGGCCTCAGGCACATGCTGATCGACCCAAAGTTTTCCACCTTTCCAAATCACAGGCAGAGAAGCAGCACTCTTTGGGTAGGCTGAGAGAGCTTTTTCAGCTCACTTACCCGTGTCTGCAGTTAAGGATTCCCACGCGCACAAACCTCATGCACAAAGGATTTCTGAGCTCCAAGGGCAGCTTGACAAGCACACCATGCAAGGCAGAGCCTTGCAAAGTCACCTCCCTGCTCTCTCAGCCTCGCAGTTCAGGAAACAAAGTGAGTACCAGCCACACAAATTGATAGGGAGGTTTCATTCTCATTTGGAAAGTTTGGGGGTCCAAGAGTAATTCCTTACCTTGTTTTACTGGTAACATCGTTGTCTTTGGAGATTGTGTCCCTTTCTTCACTGCTTCCACATTCTTCCCTCCAGACCGTTTTCCAATGCTCTACCCAGTCACGTTTCTGATTGCTCAAAATACGGGGCTCATGAGGGTTGCCATTTTCCTCGGAAGATTGGTCTCAAGCCAGCATTTCCCATGATCCAGTCCCAAAACATCTCCATATTGCTACTAATATAGGTCTCACTGCTAGCAACCACCTGCTCAAGCCAGCAGCTCCCCTGGTTCAGTTTCTTTGCACCTATGCCTCATTCTGACCCATACTCATTTTACATTTATATGATTTTTCCTGTTTTTTCTTCTAGAAAAAAGCTGAACAGAAGACGTTTCCGAAACCAAGGCCCACACCAGCTGCTGACTGCGTGCCAAACTTCAAAACCTGCAAACCACACTTGAATTCATGTTGTAACTACTGTGCTTTGTGCAAATGCCGAATTTTTCAGACCATCTGCCAATGTCTAATGTTAAACCCAAAGTGCTAAGCCAAACTGGGAACAAAATAAGGCTTCTGTCTTTCATTAGCTTCTCAAGTGTGTATTTCAAACTGCCCCATGTGTACAGCAATCAAAGTAGAGGTCTTTGAAGCTGGCAGCTTGGATTCGCCCCTTAAAATTCAATGGACAATGTTTTTTTCCATGAGGTTACTGCTATCATCAACAGGATGGTTTTTTTCAGGGAAATTGACATTGAACAGGTATTTTTAGCAAAACTTACCTGAGTTTTAAGAAGAATCCTGGGTTCTTGATGGTTTGGGGTTTTCTTATTTGTTTGTGGTTCGGGTTTTTTGGTTTTTGGTTGGGTTTTTGTTTTGGTTTTTTGTTGGGTGTTTTGGGGTTTTTTTTGAAAGGTCGTATTAACTGCAGACTGCAGTATTCTTTAACTGGCACTGCAAAACCAGCACCAATGGCACGCAAAACAGCCACACTAAAACTGGTCTTGTTAACCCAGTGAGGGAACAAAGCTTGGCATTGTTCATAGGAACAGCATGACACCAGCTTACAGCACAGGCAAAATACCATGCTGAAAATGCAGGTTTCAGGGTAAACTTCCTTTCCACACTTTCAGGAAAAATCAGGATGACAATTCATATAGGTTATTCTAACTGAAAGACAGGCCCAAAACAATAAGGTATTTTTTTAAACATCCCCAGCTGAGCATCAGTACATCTACCTCCAGGATTTTAGTCATTCTACCAGTAACGAGTATCTCCAAGGTGTATAGTATGCATGTATATTTGAACCCTGAATGTATCTGTGCCTCATGACTTAGAAATCAGAACTTTTTCACCAGCCATATCCATAGGAAGAGTCCTCAGCCCTTCTGCTGCCAAGGACACAGTGCATACAGAGCCCAAAAGCAGGAACACATATGCAGTTTGAGGAAGAAAGGCAAGATCGGCAAAAAATGCATATGTATCCCACATTACATCTTGAAGAAAACCATTGCAAGCAATCAATCAATCTTTCTTTGCTCATTCTTACTACGGGCAACTCCCAGCACCTACCCCAAGCGTGAATGAAGGTGGCAATCTCCATGTGCTACATGTAACCAGTGACCACAGGAAACAGAAACAATTATGGAATGCTCTATCAACCCTTAAAAGGCCCAGAAACAGCTCTGAAGGCCTGGATGAAGCTCAAGACAGCAGCAAACCATTGTCTAGAAGACATCTTTCTCTTATTCTTGAAGCTCTTGGCCTTAATCTTGAGTTATCCAAGGATTCCACAGGAGGAAACCCCTCCTTGCTTAAACTACCAGGAGAGACATGGTAGGTCACAGGAGAACAAGGGGGCAGCAGACCCAGAAGCTGTCCCTAACACGGAAGATTCATCTTCCAGACTCCAGCTCTTGCTTTTTACCTCCTCTGTTCCACATCTACAATGTTCCTCTCCCCAACTCCCAAACACTCTTTTTTGTTCTGTGGGCCTTTCTTCATTTTGGTATTCTCCCTTCGTCCCACTCCTACTGGCAGTCACCGCAGGAGCCATGTGCATTCCCAGGGCTAAAACACATCTTCCCTGTTCACTCCACCTGTCTGCTAGATGACTGCACCAGTGTCCACACCAATGATATTTAGCTTTCACAATGAATTTCTAATCCCATTCCTGAATTTTCTAATGCTCTGTTGCAGGTTTAATTGAGAGGACATTTCTTTACTGATTTATTTCTAAGCACAGCTGGGGAATACAAAAATCTTCCAGGCAGGCAAAGATGATACAGATGACACCCTAAGGGGGTTCAAGTCATACTTTTTTTTCTTTTAACAATCAATCCAAAGCTCAGAGCTCAAAACATATGTCAGATGTTGACAGAAATGTTTGTTCATCATAGAGATATATAGAGATGACAGATTAATCTAAAATGCCCAAATTATTACAGATGTCATTGTGTTCCTTATCTTTTATAAAATATATCAGCTGCCATATATTAAGCAATCTTGAATTCTTTTACATTTACATGACTTTTAATTGGATATCCTGGCTCAGGAATCTCTAAGCCATTCAGTTATGATAAAAAGAAAATGAGAAGGAAAAATAATACATTACAATGGGCTTAGGAAATAGCATTTGGCCCATGTTTTTCCTAAGTAAAGATGTAGATTCTCACTGAGTTGTTTCAAAATTCTCATAACTGTAAGAAATTGTCCTCGGTTGGTACTAAAATCATATCAATCACACAACAACTTCTCATGTGGAAACCATATAATTTTCTAAAGAGAATGTCCAGCTGATCAGAAAACATTTATTTTACCAGGGTAGAGAGGAGCAGGAAGAGAGGAAAGGGAAGGAAGGAGAGCCAGAAATCAAAGAAATAGCTTCTCTAAAACGCAGCTCCCACTCTAGCTTTTCAGAATCACAGAATGGTTGAGGTTGGCAGGGATCTCTGGAAGTCATCTGGTCCAGGCCCCTGCTCAAGCAGGGCCACCTAGAGCTGGTTGCCCAGGACAATGTCCAGACAGCTTTTGAATATCTCCAAGGAGAAAGGCTCCACAACCTCCTTTGGCAACCTGTGCTTGGTCATACTCACTGTGCCAAAAAAAAAAAAGAGGGTCTGATGTTTGACTCTCTCCAGTATGTCCATGTCTCTCTTGTCCTGGGGAGCCCCGAACTGGACACAATACTCCAGGTGTGGCCTTACCAGTGTTGAGCAGAGGGGAAGGATCACCTCCTTGATCTGCTGGGATCAATCCTCCCAACACAGCCCAGGACACCCTCTGCCTTCCCTGCTGCCAGGGCACATTGCTGGCTGAGGTGCAACTTGGTGTTCACCAGGACCCTGGGTCCTTTTCTGTAAAACTTCTTTCCAGATGGTGGGCCACGGCATATATCCACACATGGGGTTGCTCCTCTCCGGGTGCAGGATATTGTGCTTCTCCTTGTTGAACTGTACGTGTTTCTCCAGATTGTGAAGGTCCCTCTGGACGGCAGCGCAACCCTCTGGCGTGTCAGCCACTCCTTCCAGTTCTATGTCACATGCAGACTTGCTGAAGGTACATTCCACCCCATCATCCAGATCATTAATGAAGATGCTATCCACCTCTTGCGGCTGTCAGCTAAAGAAATGGGAAGTGCTGAGACCCACAATGAGGAGCTAGAGACATGGAAGCTGAACCACAAAAGTACAGGATGGTGCATGTATGTGATGAAGGAAATGCAAAGATCCTTTTTTATGAGAGTGAAGGGATTTGCTTTTCAACACATATGCACTTTTTTTTTAATATAGCATTTATATGTAGTGTATTTTGACAAATTTGATTAGTAGGCCTTTTTTGTAACTGGAATTGATTAGAAAGAAGTTATGCTTTCTTTGCCATTCATCTATCACATTGAAGAATATATATAACCAAGTACTCTGTTATTAGCCTTAGTGACTTTACTTTTCTAGGTAAAAACCATGTTGCATGAGCTATTGATAGGATACAGAAGTCAGTAAAACATGTACACCCAATATTTGCTTCCTGTATTTAGTCTGACCAGAGATGTATATTGAGGAGTTGTTTGTAAGTGTAAGTAGAGTTCCCTAAGGGACCTATTTGAAATGTCATCAGCAAATAGATGATAAAAATTACGCATGACAAAGATGGAGTGTTTCATTTCCATTTGCCACATACCAAAATGTCTCCACTGAAAACTTATGGGTATTCAAGCTTAAAGAAGACCCAGTAATGCTCTATGACAGAGTCATTTTGTTCCTAGAAACTAATGGAAATTTTACCCTAATTACTGCTTAGTAGGATTAAGTACAAATAAATCAGTATTAGCTTTTCCAAACATTGCCTATCTTGTGTGAATTTAAAACAGATACTGTATTTTTTCCTATCCAAAGTCTTGACTTGATTGCTTGTTGTCACACTCAAATACCATAAAATCCAAATTTATCCTGAAAACAAATGGTAGAATTAACATCTTAATGACTATTCCAAACTAGTTCTAAACACCTCGTAGTTTTCCAAGCAAATTACTGAAACTGTCTGGGAGACCTCAGAAGGAAAAAAAACAACACCCCAGGTCAGTCTTCTGGATCTTCTCACTGAAGGAAAGATTTAATGGAAGTCATAATAACTTCTTCCAAGTTCTATAGATGGGTCAACATTATCTGTGATGCTACTTTGGCTGAGGGTGATGAAAGATTCAATAAAGTCCCTCTGAGATGCAGAGATAGTGCTAACCGCATGATGAAATGAATTATAGGAGAACCAGATGGAGATTTGTATAACCAAACTGAGGAGCCAAGGAAGAACTTGTGCATGCCATGCTCAAAGCGGACTCTGTGGGAAGTCTATTTTACAGTACTAAAATTACATCATCTTAGTCCTACAGCAAACATCTTCTTGAAGTATTGTGCGACACACTATTCATGAGATAGTGGAGTCTTGAGGTCACTTACTCTATGGGGGTAGACATTAAATGACATCCAAGGCGAATGCAAGAAAGCATTAAATCATAACATTTTTCATCAAAGCATTTCAAGTCTAATTAGACAATTCTGTGTCTAGAAGTGACTCTAAAAACACATTAAATAGACCAATTCAGCATCCTATTCAACTCAGACACAACTGTGAGTTGCAGAATCAGGGCTGAAAGGAAAATAATGAAAAGTGGACTCCCCTAACAAACACATGAGCACTTCACATTTTTTTCTGTCTCCTTCTGAGCTCCGAACTGTTGCCCTTCTGGATAGCATTCTCCACACAGTGATCTCCAACATTCAGAAGGAAACACATGGGATGGCCAGCTATGACTACCGCATTGCAAAATCCCAATTGCCACTCCAATACCTTGGTTGGTCACAGACACTTTATTTCCAAAACTGAAAGAGCACAGCAAATAACTACTCATTTCCAGACAGAAATATCATCTTAGTTTTTTGTAGTACATTTAATGGCTGAGAAGAAATCATTGCTTCCTGTGTCAGATGCAAACCACCTCAACCACTGCATGCTTTTCTAACTGCAGGGGTGAGACAGTTGCATGTGACTTTG